ATATAAATGTCCATATTTGAAGTTACATATCTTTATGAAGGGACTTTGCTGAAATCTTCATTTGTTCCCAATGCTCTTTAATAAGAGCGATAAAAATTACGATACATTGAAAAACAAAACAAGAAAAATATTTTTTGCCATGAATTATGTTTCTCATGCATTTTCTTTAAATTAATTGACTACAAAAACCGTTTTTATTTCAAAGAAATCTCAGAAATACAGAAAAATGTGGTGAATTTTAATCACAGATATGAAAAGTATTGGGATAATTTATTTTGCACCAATATCAATGAAAATCTCAGCAGAGAAACACAAAAGGAAATGTACAGCTCGGCGGTTGGGGCCGTTAACGTGACTTGAATGAAGCAAGGTCTTTGTTGGAGGTCTTCGTAGAATCCTTCTAATTTCATTAAGTTATCAAAGTTCTGTTTTCATGATTGTTTACAAACATCTATCTATCTATCTATCTATCTATCTATCTATCTATCTATCTATCTATCTATCTATCTATCTATCTCGGTCTGTCCATATATGTCTGTCTATCTTTTTGTACTATTAATCATGCAATACAAGGCTAATGAACTATTCAAAGTAGCGGGATCCTGAATGAGGTTGATGTAAGTAGTGCAAGTTATGAGGATAGATAACGGTTGACTCTAAACTTCAATAGAAAAATATCGTAGCCCGATCGAGGAAGCATCCTCCTGGGTGTGTTCGAAAAAGTAATATTTCTAAATGGAATTTCCTCTTTAACGATGGAATATGAAACGAATGAGATTGATTCAACCTCTGTGATCTATCTATCTATCTATCTATCTATCTATCTATCTATCTATCTATCTATCTATCTATCTATCGAAATATGCACATCATATCATTCTATAAATATTTGTGTGTCTAGTTTCTCTGTAAAAAACTGAGAAGAGGTTACCTCCGTAGAATAACTGCATTCGAAATGGTGAATTTTTACCTGAGCTTAAACTGGCGAGATTGGTGCAGCTGCTGCAGCCATGAGATAAGCACCTCTTAAATTGATAAGGAAATTCTGCTTTTTTAAATTGCCCTGGTAAATAACTTGTATAGATGTAATCAAGCAGTAGGAAAATAATTGCAAAAATTCATAAGAAAACAAAGAAAAATCCCTATTGGTCAACTCCTTATTTTCAAGAGATGATTTTATACTTTTTTTAATAATAAATCATCAAAACATACTGTCTTCTCCATCTTATGATAATGATAATATTAACCATTTCCTTATACGCAAGAGCTTTATTTATTGATCGAGCAGGCAGTGCAATTGACAATTGAAATTCATAAAACCAAACTATTAAAACTGCTTTTACGGAAAATAGGTTTCTCAAGTCCGCAGTCACGACACTTTTCAGTATTAATGAAGGCTCCCTTACTAACATTTTATCTGAATTAGTGTGGAACGCCAACATCGTCATTATTTAATTATTTTCGCTTCGTGTTACATGTGCTATTCATTTTAATTGTTGCTGCTTTTGAAAATCTCAAGCGTTGTGATTTTCTGTTATTAAGTACAGTTCCTTATTTGTGATTATTTAGCGACATTCCACGAAATTCGAAGAAGGTCGATGTTTCATTCGCTCAAAGACATTTAACAATTAATCTGAGAAAGCGGCTGTATACGACGCACTTTTTTTTAGATATTTCTGAACAGGTTTGGCACCATGCATGTCATACATATGCAAGTTTCAATCGAACTTACTTAAGAACATGATTTTTAAGTTAAACGTTTTATTTTTTGGAAATTTGCGACGTGAAATGACAAAAGTACGCAGGTGTAGGCTTCAAGAAAGCTTTATTCAACTGAGCTTCGCATATAGTGTCCTTTTATAGTCCCAGTAAACAGAAATAGTTCTCTCAAAGAGTAGAGTAACAAAACAAGATACCACTCTTTATTATTCATAACAGGGTGTTTGGCAAAAATACACCTAGCAGAGTCTATTCTATGCTTAAACAAGAGGAAAATAATAACAAAGCCACATAAAAAAAAAAAACAATAAAAGGCAAAACGAATAAGGAGAATTTAACCTCTGTGATCTATCTATCTATCTATCTATCTATCTATCTATCTATCTATCTATTTCAGAGTGGTCAATATCAATCTATGTATTTTTTTTTATTTGTATGCTTGCTTCCTCTGCAAAATCTGAGACGGGCGATACAAAATTATAATAGAATTTACAAATTATAAAATGTAAATTATTCCATTAAAAATGAATGATGGTAACACGTTGAATTCTCTTTTAAATCAAACAACTTTATGCATGCACAAAAATATGACAGTAATTTAATTCTTCTGCATGTAATTATCGAACGTTTTAAAAATGATTTTGTGAAAAAGAAGTTACAAATTCAAAACAAAGAAAAAATAAACGTCGCTTTGAATTTATAAATTAGATGTGATTTTCAGACAAAAGATTTATGCCTACAAAAAAAAAAAAAAAAAATTAACGTGAACTGATTGTATGTTGTGGGAAAATGGTTTCGTACGTTTTTTAAACTGAAAAGTAGACATTTTACATTTTAGAAGGTGCTGAAAAGTTCTCGGCTCGACCCACATGCAAAAATCGGAACAAATCACTAAATATCAGAATCCTTTTTTCAAATGTCCTCATTGCTAAGCCGACGATGTTTCAGCAATTCTCGTATTTTATCGTCATTTCTTTCGTGTGGATATACATACTAAATAGAATCACATACTTACATCTCTCCCCATGTCTCTATGTATGTATGTATGTATGTATGTATGTATGTATGTATGTATGTATCTATCTATCTATCTATCTATCTATCTATCTATCTATCTATCTATCTATCTCACTCTGTTTATATCTTCTTTTTAACTTCCAGTCTTGATTGGTCTGCTATTATAATATTTTAAAGTATTCAAATTGTTCATTTTTTTCACGCACGCACACACACACACACACACACACACACACACACACACACACACACACACACACACACACACACACACACACTCAGATGAATAGAAATATTCATTAAGAATGTAAATAACTGTACATTCAAGGATAGGATATACATGAATTGAAATATATCATTTTTTTTTACGACATTAGGAAGATTGTAGTGCGCAAATCTTCCAAGCGGGGAGAGCTGCCTACCTATAAAGTCAAGATTCATTTCTGCTGTTGGTAGGAAGCACGTAACGATTTCAGCAATGAAGTGGGTTAAAGTTATTTCCTATTCTGATACTAGTCTGGCACAAGGTCAGCATAATAGGGCAAGACACTTGGTGACTGAACGAACAAAATGGTATGTGACACGGGACTATAAACGACTTAGTTACAAAAGCTTCTCGATCTTCTTGTAACAATATTTCTTCTTTCTTTTTCACGTTCAATTCTAGTTGCTTTCTGTTAATAAACATGTGTACACACACACACAGACACACACATATATATGTATGTATGCTAAGAAAGGTAGAGTGGGTTAAACTGGGAGAATTAAATACAGGAGACAAGAGGTCTGAATGAGATTAATGTAAGCATGGAGATATAGTGTGATTGATATTAGACAGGTAATTACCTTGAAAACACACACACACACACACACACACACACACACACACACACATATATATATATATATATATATATATATATATATATATATATATATATATAAGAACAGATTAATGGAGATATGAAGATATTGATTACGAGAAAGAAATTTCAGTCAGTTTCCCATAAAATGGCACTCAGACAGGTTAAGTGTTTAAACAAAAGAAGATGAGAAAGAAAGAAATATATATATATATATAAAAAACTCATGAATGAAATGAAATCGGAGAAGAGAAGAGAGAAAAAATGCATAGAACCATTAAGGAAACTGCTACAATGTTTAAGAAACATCTAGAAGTAATTTTTATGCATAGGATATTTAAATTACACATACTGCGAATTATGTATTTGCTTTCATGTTTTTTTTTTAATCGTAGAATGGAAACTGGTATCTCTGTATTAAAAGCTAGGTAGACAGTTTGTCGAACAAACTGGGTATTTCAACGACCACCAATGTAATGGCGTGTTGGACTGTGTCTTGAGAGTATACTAGAAAGACATTATTCCTGATGGATTTAAACCACTGAAAACACCAGAAACATGCACCAAAGAAAAAAATTGTTACTTTTTTAAACATTCTGCTGGCTGAGAGATCAAGTGTTGGATTTATCGAAAGATACGAAGAAAGCTGATATTTACTTATCAAAACATACACCCACTCCTACCCACCAAAATACAATTAAACATGAGAAAGTGTGCATATCTATCTATCTATCTATCTATCTATCTATCTATCTATCTATCTATCTATCTATCTATACCCACTAAGAATAATTATACATTTATTCTTAACAGCTCTATGCTAATCAGAGATTCATTCTTAGAGCAATCGTCAAGCACACAAATATAATTTGTGTCTGACGATTGTCATAAACATGAAACTCTGAGTAGCATAGAGCATGAAGAATATATAATTATTCCTAATATAATTATTAGCTCTGTTATTTTACATCGACCATTACTTTATTATAACTACCAAACTCATTGTGCTCACTCTATATTTCTTTCTTTTTCTCATTGTTTCTTTCTTTCTCTCTCTTCTCTATATATATATATATATATATATATATATATATATATATATAGAGAGAGAGAGAGAGAGAGAGAGAGAGAGAGAGAGTTACTAGAGTTCAAAAGTTTGAAGCCACCCCCGCAATTAGCATGGGATGGAATTAGGAAAAGAGTGAAAAAAATGAAAATGTGCTCTTAGAGTCAGAGAAAAAGACTGGAATCAATTTTAATCAATTTTTAATAAAAAAATCATGTCTCACTTTTCTTAACTATGCATAATGATTTCCTTTTATTTAAAGTATAAAACAATTACGTTTTGTGCCAATTTTAATAATTACTTTTGAACTGTCATCTATCTATCTATCTATCTATCTATACAGCGAGATAGATAGATAGATAGATAGATAGATAGATTAACTGAATTTAGTTTTTTCTCAGAGTAATGGAATATTAGCCCACCATTCGTTCGTGCATTGGATAGTGTTACCATATCTGGACTGATATCTCACGAGATTTTCGGCAAGGAAGAGTTTGTCGCTTGGTTTAAGCCAGAGATCTTGAGGAATTACCATTGTGCCTTATTAATGACCGTGTCAAAGCTAAGTCTCGCTGAGAGTTAAAGATACTAGAATTCCAAAGGAAAGTGTCTTGATATGGCGATCATAGGAATGAAGACATCTTCCTATGTGTTCGTCGATAGTTTTCGTGATGGTATGTAGGAGAATCCGGTTTCAAGTTTGAGATTTTACGAAGTATAATTGACGTCCAAACTTATAGATGAAGGTTGTCTGTATGGACAATTCAAGAAATTTGAAGAAATACGTTGGGTACTGATTAGCTTCCATAGTTCTCAGAACTCTGTCGATTGATCTGTACAATATATCTGTCATACCTATGATAAATATAAGAGGGCACGAATCCTGTTTAAACGTTTAATTCCATGAAATTACAGGATGGTGATTTGGAGGGACTACTCATTGGATAATAATTATTATATTTCTTAGGAGAGTAGGTTAAATGACCGAGAAGAAAATTTAAAACGAAACTCGTTAAAATTTCTGTTTTAAATTTTAAAATGAAATTAAGAACTATTCTAAGGAGAATCGAACTCAGATTTAACAAGAAGATTCAGTAAAATTGAGCAAAATCTAAGAATCCTAACCTTAACCACTACACGTCTATAAGAAAAAAGACACGATTAAGGTGTTATCCGAATTTAGTGAGTTCTGAGAATCTAGAATTCTATCTGTAAAAAATTTGTGCGATCACTAAACATGACGATCTAGATTATTTTAAGAAAAAGAAAAAAAACATCTGTTTTGTGTTAACCCCATGATTTGGGATTTGTTTATGTTGATCATCCAAGAATTCAATTATCTTTACAGAAAGATTTTAAAGATAAAAAGGAAATATCATATGTTTAATTAGCAAGATTGGATAAAGATTAAAATGACCGGACAGAGAAATTAGATATATCAATGTCAATTTTTTGGTGGTGGGGTATGCATAAAAGCACGGCTTCCCTAGACATAAAACAGACGGGAAAATAGCTTGGCCAAGAGTCGTCAGATACAAGAAACACACCTGCATTTCGGTAGACTGAGCGAACACGCAGATACACGTACGACAGAAGTATCTATTGGTTGGTTATTATTTTAGCGGTTGCGACTATAACTTTCAAATCATCACCCTGCAGTAGACACCAGTTGACTGGCGGACTATTACTTTAGCGGTTTCGACTACAATATGTAAATTACCAACCAGTACGTTAGAACTTGATTTTGCAGTAGATGACAAAGACATTTTATTCAACCAGTTTTTCTTTATGTTCAGTAAACCTGTTTTTAGAGTTATCAACAGTATTGTGCATTTTATTGAAAGTTTTCCTCGTCGTGAGGTCTGGCGAAAAGAGACAAAAATTTACCATGGCCACACGCAGGAATTTCTCAATCTCGTCTGTGGTACACAACGTATATAAGGTGTCCACAATGGACTTCGTCGTCAATCCCAATATAGTAAGATTTTGGGAAACCAGAATCAAACTGTATCGAGACAACACACCGTTCCAGACCGAGGAGGGGAACGAAAGCCGGATGAATCGCAAGGTCGGTATTACTCAACAAATCTAGCAAAGTTAGCGATTGTCAGAAAAAAAAAAGAAGAGGAAGAAAAGACAAACCTCAAGGTAGGTGGGGGGGGGTGATAAGTGTGTTGTTTGACGTGTCAACGGCAGTAAGTTACAATGTCACAAACTTATTTCAACAAACATGGAAGTTCAATTTGACCTTGCCTGCTGTACCATTTGTGAGGCGATAAACGTTTTTATACATTTATAGCCAGCACAATATCTCATAAATGGTATGCTCTGGCCTATGATAACCTGTGATGATTTTGAGTGACCTCTGAGGTCAACCCACTTATCCTTAAAAAAATGGCTTTCTGTAACTTTCCGTTTGACTGCGATGTCTTCATATACACTCGCACACTTTGACATTAGTAATATAGATACTTTAGAATAAGAAAGCGTGTGCATACTGATACACACATTCACGTGTATTATGATGGAAATAGCTATCTAGTTAGATGCATAAAAAATCTGTGCGCACACAGCATTTGTATGCATACGGCAATATGTGTATATATATGTATGAATGAATAGTTTGGCTGTCAAAACTAAAGTATTGATTCAGTTTACTCTAAAAAAATTGAAACTGAATTCTTATTTTATTTGTTATTGAATCAATATTTCTTTTAAAATATATTGAAGCATTTGTCGGATTGGTTTTAAATTCCAACGTCCTTTTTTTTTCTTCTTTTGGTTTCTTCAAGTTTAACAATCTTCGAATCGGCTTTTTCCGGAATGGTTTTCTTTCCATATGGATGACACTCCTTGTCTTTCGATTATCGATCACTCGAACTAAAAGCAGCCGTGGAGAACATTGTCTTTTACAAGTCAGCAGCTTTTTTTTTTTGAGACACAATTTTGCAGCATCCACCCTCTCTATTGTGTTGTGTTCGTTACACTTTGATTTATTTCAGTCACTGAACTAACATACTGCAGCGCCTTTGCTATTCGTCAGAAAATTTTCAAGATTTCGAAATATATTTATGACTTGGGTATGAAAAATATATTAGTTAAATAATAGAGTTAGTTAAATATTAGATATTGTTCACTAGTAAATGTAGCTAAGCATTTTTCCCTGTCTGTCGCTGTGGGGCAACTTTTTTTCCCACGAGATTTTTTACTTTATAAACACATGTTGAAAGATAATATTATAAATGAGAGAAGAGAGAAAGATAGATAGAGAGAGAAAGAGAAAAAGGGAGATGGAGAGAGGGAGATAAAAAGAGAGAAAGAGAGGGGCAAAGAAAGAGAGAGAGAGAGAGAGAGAACAGAGAAAGAGCAGCACGTCGGGATTTTTTTTCTTTTATCAAACATAATCGAAGAAAATATTATAAATTAGAGAGAGAGAGGGAGAGGGAGAGAAAGGTAGAGAGAAGGAAAGAAAGAGAGAGAGAGAAAGAGAGAGAGAGAGAGAGAGAGCAGTACACCGACATTTTTTTCCATTATGAAACACATGTTGAAAGATAATATTATAACTGAGAGAGAGAGAGAGAGAGAGAGAGAGAGAGAGAGAGAGAGAGAGAGAGAGAGAAAAAAAAATACAGTGGAAGAGAGAGAGATGGAAAGAGGAGGAGAGGTAGAGAGAGGGAGAAAAAGAGAGTGACAGGTAGAGAGAGAGAGAGAGAGAGAGAGAGAGAGAGAGAGAGAGAGAGAGAAGCACGCCAATATTTGTTATTTTATAAAACAGATATAGAAAAATAATATAATCGCGCGCGCGCGAGAGAGAGAGAGAGACAGAGAGAGAGAGAGAGAAAGATAGAGAGAGCACACAGATAAATACATTCCTAGTTACACATATCCAGAGATCAATAAACCCATCATCCTAAGAAGAGTATACCAATTAAAAGCTTCTACACCCGGCATTGATATTACCTAACAATTCTCAAAAAGGAACAGTGCGTCAACCCCAGCTGATTATGGTCAGGTAATCGACAAGCAAATCTATAGCACAGAACGTGTTTTTTTTCTTCATGGTAGTTCATCTTAATTTATGTCATATCACTCTAAACCAGTATTTTCTGTCGCATGGTCGTGTAATAGGCCACTAAACTGTTTCCCCTACCAGAATTTTCTGGTGAGAATTGTGGCTAGACACGTAGCAGTATTAAAATTAAGACCTATCAAAGAGCGGATAAACGCTTTTTGTAGGATCAAAACCCATCTTTCACAGTGGGGTATATTGGGCTCCGTAGCTATGCATTAATTGCGATAACACGGACACTGGGGAGACAGTTTCTTACATTGAAGTCAACAGTCAGGAGAGTGGTTTTGTCTTGATAGAATCAGTGGCCACGTGTCCATAATCAAAGTAGGCATTAATTTTAAGAGATCTGTATCACAAATCGTAGAGGATTTTATATTTTATTTAGTATATATCTTTCTTTTTTCGGCCGAGCTAGCTTGGACATTCATGAATCCATCACGCCAACCATTATGGTCCTGCATCAAGGGAGGCATTCTGTGTTATTACATAGCCGGTCAATGTAGGTGGTTACTGGGCGACAAACTCGTCTTGTTCCCTGGCTAGGTCTCCAGGGCAGTAGATAACTCCTGAGTTCTTATCACTCGCACCAGTCTCCTGCAAAGCGCATTCTACGTTCGCGCATGATTGTAGAAATCTGCACATATCTGTTTCTGTCCTTTTTGGTGACTGGTAAAAGATACATATTTTACACCAACCCCCGGAAGACAAAATTGAAAACCAAAAAAGTACTAAAAGTTCGTTTTGAAATTATCGTCACTTTTAGGCGGAAACTCGTCTCTTTCTTCTATTACTAATCCTCCTCAACGGCCACAACCACCACTCCTCCCCCTCCGTCTGAATATGTGGTTGACATTTTCCCAACCATAAAAACAGGCAAAACTGCCTTCCGATCAAATCCGACAAAATGCAGGCCAGAAAAGAAAATGTAATTGAAAGTTTTACCAAATAATTTAGAAATATTTCACTTCTTATACCATCATAGAAATTGCTATACCGGGTGTATAAGAAACATTGTCCAAATCGTGTAACAGCATAATTGGCCATCCCACAAAATCTTTAATATCTAAAAAAATAGACTAAGCTAATTGAGTTTATTTTTTTCCATGTTTTCAGATAAGACGTTTAGCCATCTTGACACAGTTTTCATAATAATCATCGAAAAACCCTTTGAGTTATTCTGTAAGAAAGAGAACAGATTAATTTTGTTTTGTGTCAGCCCCACTATCTTCCCAAATGAGCAATGGCGAAAGCAAAAAAGATCATTCAGGCCTTCAGTAATGGTACCAACATTCATACTCTGGCTTCCATCTTCAAAGTCTATTCAAGAACCAACAAGTGAATAGTGAATAGGTTTAAAAAAGAGGGAACAGTAGAGAAGAAAACTGGATCAAAAGGTCACAACAGAAAGAGGGATCAACATTTCGACTTAGAGCTAAAGAGATCAATTAAAAAAGATCCAACTCAATCTATAAGATGTTTAACACGTGTGAAATGAGTTTTAGCTATGACAGTTCAAAGAGTAGTGAAAACAGACTTGAGAATGAAATGTTACGTGAAACCTGTGAGACATATTGTTACTCCAGGATTAGAGAGGACGAAGATCATCTTGAATAAGTTGTACAATGATTCTGGAACAATATATATATATATATATATATATATATATATATATATATATATATATATTTGAACTTAGTTTCAATCCTTCATGAGATTCCGAACCATAGCTAAGTTTAATTAATGATGAACATGGCATTTTTCTTTATGATCGATTTCATCACGATTCTTCTGTTAAGTTTGGAGAGTAATTATACATTCTTATTGCTCAAAGTAGAGTTCATTGGTTATGCAAAAAATCTCGGGGTATTCCAGTCAGATATCTTTAATCATTTCTAAGATACAACGGTTCAAAACTTAATCTAACAAATAGACAATTTTGCGTTTTGGACAATTTTTGTTACCCCATTACACACACACACACACACACACACACACACACACACACACACACACACACACACACACATATATATATATATATATATATATCATTGTATTGTTCCGTTCATATCTAATATCTGCACAAATTTCTCTGTCGTTTTTTTATGATTGACAAAAAATGCTCTATTTCACCCTTCCCACCCCTGGAAGGCAAACATGAGAATAAAAAAGTGACTAAAAGTTTGTTTTGAATCTATTGACACTTTTACGTGGGATCTCGTCTGTTTTCTCTACTAGTACTTCTTCTATTCCCTGTCGCCACCCCGCTTGAATATATGGTGGACATTTTCTCAGCTATAAAAAAAAAACATAGGCAAAACTGACCTTCACTAATATCCACCAGAACTATCTGCCTTCCTAGCGGACCATGCCTTCGTATAAGCCATATATGGTAAGAGTATACTTTGTACTAAATAGGGTATAATCAGACTTACCCTAAGTTACAAATTAACAAGATATAAGCTGTAGTTCATTACAACATGTTACTATAGAGGAGAAGATGAATTCCATAGCCGACAGTCCATCTTTGAGAAGGAAAACTCTCGTGAAACCAGGAGTAAACAGATTAAATAAACTGCCATTGTAATGCGAATGTTAGTCACGTGCCGATAAACTACGTATTTGCCTTTTACACCTCCATCGCAATTCATAATACGCATGTCAGTGAACATGGCCCGGGAAAACTATTAGTAAATTTGACACTGTTACTTTCTGTAGGAATTTCGAACCGAGAATAATTACTAAGCCACTGAAAGACAATCATGAGTATCATGAATATCAGAAACCCATCCAGAATCGCCTGGCAGGCAGGTTACAAAGGGACACGTTCCACTGTTGTCCCGATCTCTCCACAGTGTTTCAAAAATCAGTTACAGTGTCACCAAACAAAACTTCTTGCGTGCAAAAAATCTACATTAATTTCAACCTTCAACTTTTGCACACTTAACCCCCAAAATCAGCTGAGTGAACTCGTTTCATCTATTATTGTAGTGAATATCAATGTCATCTGTATTCAGCAAAACTGCCATTTTCATCCAGCTCAAATCCCATTGTGTTAGGAAAGGCTGAGTCTTTATCTGAGCTTCGGCTTGGAAAAAATCCACAGGTACTACCATTGGCGGTGTCGGCATGCTTCTCAGTCCACTAGCCCATAAAGATGAACACTGAACACATTTAACACACAATCATCATAGCTAGTCTCAATGGCAACTATACAACAAGTATCATCTGTTATTTACTAACAAATTCTAGCGATGAAGAAAAGGTGACACATTTCTACCAATACCTCTCTTCTCTTTTCAGACTAGTCACAAACCATATTATCTTGAGTATTTGTGAGGAGATGAAAGCTCAGATTCGTGTTAATGACGTACACAAATTTGCATATCATGCATCCTCTAACAGAAATGATATCTTCCTCAAAGATTTTATACAGGAAAATAATCCTGTATGCCTAATCATCAAATTTCAGAAGAGCTCTAAACGATGGACATTCACTCATGCCAATAGCATCAAATCGAAAATGGATGACATCCTGATAAACAAAAAGTGTAAGTACAAAGTAATGAATTGCTAAGCCCTCAACATATTTGAAGTAGTATCTACAGATCATCGCATTGTCTATTCCACCTTAAGATTTAATAATATAAGAAAAGATAGTGTGCGTTCCAACCGTATGACTAGTCGCTTCTAACAACAAAAAGTCATCTCAGAGAAAGGCACACCATTGCTATCATTGCTATTGTTTGAAATATGACAAGCAGATACCATCTCCTAATGATTTATGTGTCATGCAAGATACACGCTTGACCAGGCAGATTTTTTCCCGCAGTAGGTTGCCATTTCTTTCTGAGCAGTTGCCATCCAAGGCTATAGAACTCGGTCTGTCCTGCTATTCACCCATTGCTGAGGAGAGAAGAAGAGGATATTCCCAAGGGTATTAGCGTGTAAGTGAATTTGACTGGAATTCTAACTCGGCTCTCTGCTAATACAACTTATAATAATTTTGTCACTTCTCATGAAAAGGCTGCAGCAGCAGATGTCATACCCTTAAAACGTAAAAATCCCCAACACATTCCTTAGAAATCAAATAGCATTAAATCGCAAAGGGTCAATGTGAAAGAAAAAGCCGCCATAAGAAATTCAAATCCATCCCTTAAATCTATCCAAGATTTCAATGAAGCGCTTGCTCAACTCAAGAACTCTTATTTAAGAAGATCAACAAGCTAAATACATCCAGGAACAAATATCGACGCATCAAATGTGCTGCTGCCAACAAACAATCTGCTTTTGCTTGGAAAACTGTTAATTGGATCAGTGGCAGAAAATCAACAGATCTAAGTTAAAGGCCAATAGTTAGGCTGAAAAACTGAATAAATTGCAAGACCATTTTAAACATCGCTTGCAAAATATACCTGACATTTTTGATACTAAGGTCTTGATATTAAACCGGGACACTGTACGGCTTGAAATGGCTTCAAAAAACACCAAAATAACATCATCTAAAATATGCTGGTTGGATGTTATTTCAATGTCTCTAAAACAGAATTCATAGGTTTTAACCAGCAAGGCTCAATGCAAACTCTTAGGTAAATCAATAAAATCAGAAAAAATCATTTACATACCTAAGAAGCGAAATAAATTCTAGTGAAAAGGATATTAAAATTCGCATGCCTTTACCGCGTGAATAAAATGGATGCAGTATGAAATCTGATCTAACAGACAACCTCAAGCGGAGATTCTTTAGAGCAACTGTAAAGGCGGAGTTAATGTATGGTTGAACTGACTAGACATTAACTAAATCCCCAGAGCCCAAGCTTGATGATGAGACATATACTCAGATGCTGAGTGCTATAATTAATAATATATATATATATATATATATATATATATATATATATATATATACACTATTAATATATACTATAATTGTGCTATAATTGATAGTATATATATATATATATATATATATATATATATATATATACACACCCAAATTATTGGAACGCCAACGCCAATTCCTTTGTTTTTGTTGTTCACTGAAGACATTTGGGCTTAAGATCAAAATATGAATATGAGACAAGAGTTCAGAATTTCAATTTTTTATTTCCTTATATTTAGATGTGTTAAACGGCTTAGAGATACCACTTTTTATATCAGCTCTCTCCATTATTAGGTGAGCAAAGTAAAGAAACAGATAGTCTTAACGTAAATAATATTTAATATTGCATAATGTTTTTATTTGCATAATCTGATTTGTTTGCGACTTGCGATTTGGTCGCAATATTTCTGATCTCGAAGTTATCTTCGAAAGGCGGGTTGTGAAATGTTCACCCACGCGCTCTGGATGTATTTGGCGATGTCACTGACTGGTACTTTGTGGTTTTTCCTCACAGCTCTCACAATGTTTCTGTCATCAACTACTGCTGTTTTCCTTGGCCAACCTGTTCTATACCTGTTGCTCAGTACACCAATAGTTTCTGTCGTTTTCAGGACATTCTAAATTGTTGTATTGTCTTAGCCCAATGTTTGAGCAACGGCTCTGATTGATTTTCCTTCTTTTCTCAGTTTCAAAATGGCTTGCTTTTCTACCATAGACAGCTCTCCCGTCTCCATGTTGATTTATCCTTTTTAACAGGAAATGCAGTCTTTAGAGGTAAAATTCAGGGTTAAAACCAAGAGTAGTCCTTTAGAACTATTTACTGTTTAAACAATCAATCTAAAATGCAGCACTTAAGCAACAAGAGTCACCTGCCAGTCACGTGTTCCAGTAGTTGTGTTCACTTGAAAAATGGTGGGTTCAAACAAAAGATGGTATCTGCTAAGTTGTTTAACACATCTAAATGTAAATACCAAAATACAAAAGCTAAAATTCTGAACTCTTGTCTCACATTCATATTTTGATCTTAAACCCAAATGTCTTCAGGGAACAACAAAATCAAAGAGATTGGCCTTGTCATTCCAGTACTTTTGGAGCGGATTATATACTGTATATACAATTGGTTTATATGTTCAAAATGTTGTAGCTTGCAGAGTTGCCAGTAGATTGCCTTCCCTAATTATTCATGGCTATTTTTATATTCTTTCATGACCATCTATCTTCTTCTGGTATATGGCATGTCCCGTCTAGACGAGGATGATCATGACTCTCCACAACTTTTGATACTTTATAGCTCTTAGTCATTTACCATCCAATTCTGCCATTCATTTACAGCAGCTCATCAGGTTGTTAACCATGGCTCTTCCTCTGCTCTTTTTTCCTTTCGATATGTCCTGTGTGTGGTACATTTTCCAACCCCTCCCTCCACATGTTTCACAGAAATTCGAGATTTTCTTTCTGATTTTGAGTATAAATGTTCGTTTTGTTTCCTTAAGTCTTCTTCGTTGCTTACGCACTCCACTCACGGTATTCATGGCTTTCCTCTGTAGCACCACATTTCTACTGCCAAACGTCCCTTCTTCAGAAATCTTATTAAGAAATCGTCCGGTTTCACTGCCCTATAAAGGATTGATATAACATAACAGTACGATACTTGCTTAGTATGTGATTCACTATCAAATGTTTATTTCCTCACATTTGTCTCCTATGCTTTATCGATCTCATCAGTTATATAGTGTGTTTTTATGACGGTTTTTTTGAGCTCTTGTTGAAACCGATTCAATTTCTTTTTTAAGATTTCATTTACTTCACCACGTTCATTTCAGTTAATCTGCCATTTGCCCGATTGGTGGTCTGCTGTGTTCATGTGATTGTTTTTTGTTACATTTTTGAGATGTCGTCATTATCTTTGCTGAATTTCGGGTAATATTCTTGTTTGTTTTTATGCTGTTTTTTGGCTGCTGTTAATACTTTTCCTTTTCTCTTCATGTCCCTTGACTGTGGTGTAGACGCAATTCTCGGTGATTAAATCATCAATGTCTCTTAATACACAGCTTGTCATGATCTGCTCTCCGGTCGCCTTCTAGTTCAGGTCTTTGACTTACTCAATGCAAGAATGATCTAGAGTTTCTTTAATTAAGTTTCTATAGCAGAATTTGGTCTGTAGCATTTATCTTGTTCTTTTTTTTCTGGTATATTCTTTGCAGAATTTTTCCTTCATCTCCTACTTGGTAGTATCTGTTGTTTTGAGTAATCGTCCTTGAAACTAGAATGATTAAATCCGGTAGAGGGCGCGCCATTGGCTGGGTTTAATGTCACTCCTATTCACCATGACGGTCAGTTCATTACGAGTAGAGGCAGAGAATGGGCGAGCTAGCGAGCGGGCGGGCTCGGAAAGAGAGAGAGAGAGAGAGAGAGAGAGAGAGAGAGAGAGAGAGGGAGAGATTATTAAAAAGCTGGTAGTAAAGCGTAAGTAGAAAAATGTTGGTCAGTTACACTAATCAGTAACAGAAAAGTCGGCAATATCAATGAAAGAAATGGTACATTTGAGATACCTCACTAGGAAAGGCGAAAATGCCTTGTGAGATATGTTTGAATTATTATCTGGATTCTGTAACATATTTCCAAAATTCTTAGGTGTTTGTAGCCATTAATCTCATACTCGTTCTGATGGTTTCCTGCTTGGATAGTTCAGTTTTTTCTTTTGTTGCCCGTTTCCTTACGTTCATTACCGGCATTGAATATTTCTTTAGCTTTGATCATTCTGACTCAAGTAACACTAACCGTGCAGTATTTTCTTCCGTTCGTAAGAAGGAAGTTCTCGGATTATACGTTGCTTATCCTACATATTTTCATAATCTACAACTACATCCGCGTCCTGTGTATGGCGATAAACTACATCCGTGTCCAGGGTAAGACAATAATCAACGTCCAACAGCAAGGCCTGTGATCAGGAGGTTTTGAGGAGCGTGGAACCACTTCTTAATTGCTGGTGTTCCCAGGTACATCCTGACCCTGGGTGGTAGCACCTGTTAGGGTCCCAGATATAGGCAAATAGTTAAGCATTATGAAAGTGTAAAAATATGTTTTAATACCAGAAATACTTCGTAAAAAATTATTACCAGAAATAAATTTTTGAAAAAAAAAAAAAAAGAAAAAAAACTATTACCAGCAATATATTTTTTAAAATAATAATATTACCAGCTATACATTTTTGAGGAAAAAACGATTATTAGAAATAGATTTTTGGCAAAACAAAATATTCCCAGGAAAAGCTGACGGCATTAAATAACCCACTGTGGTTGGTATGCCGTAAAACAAAACAAGCCAAATCAAACTACAACTCCATTCAGTAACGCGCTACCTTGAGTGGATCGGCGGCCGTGTATTGCGTGAACAACAGGATAAAAAATAGAAAATCCCTTTCTTACATTTTGACTGAATATTTTAAGCTTCTATACCAGATTTTCTCGTTTCTGGATATTCGGCGGGGGGGGGGGGCGCAAATGTTTTAAAATCGTCCTTATACATGAGATGGTTAACCATTTTCGCGACTCTAATCTTGATTGTATTACCGATATCATCGCTATGACGAATAGTTGTGAGCAAACTGACTCATCATGTCCGATGGTAATGATAATAGTAATGGTGAGATTAACCATTTCCTGATAAGGAAACAGTTGGCATTTACTGAACGAACAATTGGCGTTACTTTCAGTTGAAATTAATAAAATCTTTTTCTTAAAATATTTTTCCAGGAAAATAGATCTCTCAAGTTTACTTTTTTTCTAATATCCATAGCGGTTTCTAACCTTTTTCTAATCTGTTCCCTGCTAGGTACAATTATATTGCAATTTGATCCACACTCCGATTATTATAAGTTGTATTTCATTTGATTATTGTCTCTTGTCATCATTATACAATAGGTGTATATACTTTTCAGCAGCTTCTGTATACAGCAGGAAATTGAATGTTGTGGGCTGCTAATTCGAATCTGTTCAACAGTTGCTTCTTTATTTCTGATTTCGCGCTGTTTTCCTTATTAGACGAGGAGCAAAACCTCTTATTACTGAACATTAGAGATCACTGTTTAATCCCAAAGGAAATCCTATTGTGATATCGTTGGACGGGGTTGTGACGTATGCTTAAGGCTAGCTAAATGTAACCATCTCTTCTACTCCAACAGCTTCTTATCTCGCACCTCCCGTCAGTGGAACTCCTTTCCTATCACTTGCTTCCCTGATAGCTATAATCTTCAAATATTCAAATGTAATGTCAATCGGCATCTTCTGATGCCTTGACCTTGATCCCTGTCCTTCTCTTTATTCTTTTCCCAAACACTCCTCTTTACTCTTACTCACACTCTCTGTAATCCCTTGTGTGCTACTGGCACTCCGCCTTGCTTGGGGCGATTTGCTTACCCCCCCCAAAAAAAACAAACAAAACAAAATAAAAAACAAACAAAAAATACGTTGTTTTTTCAATCAAATTTTTCATAATGCTTCCCGTCCCCAGCAACTTTGGTAATCTCTTTTGCTGGTAACAATGCATTTTGGCTTTTTAATAATCCGTTTTCCCATGCATTTTAGATTTTAATAATTTGTTTTTCTTGTTCTCTTCTACTACCACCCATTCCATGTATAATCAGTTTCTTGTGAATAGTGTTACGTGGGGAAAAGCTATTAATTTATATTACGTAAACTTCCCAGGAGATATAATTTCAGTGACATTTTCGACGCTAACTCTGATACTTAATTTCCTGATACCTTATAAATATTAAGTTTTTACAAAAGTTTTCAACGAAAAAAAAAACTATTTTTAACTATTTGTGGGTAGCCTAATGGCTACTGGCATGGAAAAAGAGCATAAAGAATCCAGGTTCAAATTACAAGGTAGTCATTTGCGTTCACTTTCCTCTTAATGCCATTTGAAAATGTATGAATTCATTTCCCCCCCCAGCTACGGATTAAATAGCACGATAGACATGGTTCACTGCCAATTTAAAGAAAAGAATACACTGAATACAAAACTGTGTAGAAACAGCGAGATATAACACCACTATCTTTTCCAAACATTCACGACAATTCACTGATATTAAAAAGAGAAAGAAGCCGTGGAAAGCGACATACGAGTAGGTCTTGAATGGACATGGGGCTAAAAAAGTTAGTGTCTTATTTTCAAAAAGAGAGCTGGTATCTCAAATATTCCTTGAATCCCTCTGTTGTTACTTTAATATTTATTGTTGGTTTGAACAGTAAAAAAATTTCTTCTTTCATTTTTTTTAAAAGTAATTAAAGCTAATTTCATAATCGATAACATCATTAATCCGACGCCCTTATATAAGGTATGACAGCTCGAGCAGTAGTAAACTAACTCATTATCGCGTTTAATTGCTATATCTATCTATTTATAAACGATTTTAATTGCGGAGAAAAAAAAACTCCCGTGTGGAACATTACAACTTTTAATCAGGGTTTAGTTTTGGATAATAAAACTTCTTGTCACTTGGGGAAAAGGACTTCAAATTTCTTACCTACTTGTCGCCGTTTTAAAACTCTTAACAAAATCTATGATAGCACTCATGTTGCAAAGAATCAATATTGAAAATCGTATTCATATTCCTAAGCGACGTCAACACCTTGCCACTCTTGTACGAGTCGGTTGTTGGAGGCAATAACAAGCAATGTAAGCACTGAGTGGAAAAAAAAGTGTGGATAATATTCTCCTTCAATAATTCTGAAAACCTTTCGCTGACTTTTGACCCTTTTTTGTATCAAATGTGAAAGCAACATTGTCACGTGTATTTTATTTACTTTGTCTGATCATAGAAAATAAACACGAAGAAAGCAAGATTGACGAAAGAATAAATAAATAAATAAATAAATATAGATAGAAAAATGTTTAGTATCGAGAAAATTAAGAAGAAAGAATTAAAGAAAATATCTTAAATAAAAAGTTTAAAACAACAAATAAATGTTTATGGACTATATAATAATTACTGTTGTTCTATTATTTATTAATATATTTCGTATCACGCTCTATAGTGGAAAGGGAAATAAATGTAAATATCGCCACAAAAATCACGATACCTAATAAAAGGCTTTATATGAACTTTTTTAAATTAAAAAAAAATTCTTGAAGCTTTCATTTTAGCTTTAATTGAAAGATGAAGGATTAAATTTACTATTTTCAGGAAGCAAAATACTCTGATGTGTTTGTGATATGTCCGTGAAAGGGATATATTTGAACGAAGTAGCTAAGTGGTTTTGGCTACTATAACCAAGTCGAATACGGTAGCAGTAATCGACTGGTACGCGTCATAGTCGCAGGTAAGAAGTGTAGATCAATGGCGTAGTCCAATGGGCGTCGTTATAGACTTAGCACTCAGACTAAGGTTCTTGACTCTCCTACGCGTCCGTCGGTATCAATGACGGACACCAGCCAATCATATTCCAGTAAGGGGGAACACAGGTGTACGCATATTCCATTATATCAGTTTGAAATAAATTATTGATTTGAGTCGATTTTCAATTATTTTTTCAGTAACGTCGTCCATTATTGAGACATTTGTAAACACAAGTTAGTTCTCGGATATAAAAATACTTGCAAAAATAAAATATAATTTTCTGAAACTTCATCTGAGGAATATTAGCTCATTTAAAGTATAATTAATCTGATTTGAAATAAATATCATTTACTTTAAGTTTAAAATATGGCAAAAAGCATTTTTTAACTCGACAGTAGCGTGACAAACATTTTTACGATAAAACTTTGTTTTCATCAAGGGTCTTTTTTCATCATGGTATGCTCTCTTTTAGCGACAAAGTGGAGGTACTTAAATCAATTTTACATAGTAAATTTATGAATGGTTACTTAGTCATTTTACTAATATTTATTTAGATAGATTAATACGTTACTTTACTAGTCCGTTTCTTAGGCTGCAATCATATTCGCTCACGCCTTTCTTACAATATACCTTTGTCTACGAAGTGATCGACTTCATTCAACTTACTCTTTCAGATAGGAATTGTCGTCGCCGTTATTATCTTTCCGTTGATAATCATTTCTTTTTCGAGAAGTGCGTCCATTTCGAGTCACTGTTATATTAAAGACAGAATTTTTAGCACGAAAAGCTATTGAGCAAGAAGCGATTTATATAATGCCGAGACTAAACAATGAATCAAAGATATGATTGACCGTCTCAAAGAATATAAAAGGAACGGATTTATTAAGCGGGACATTGGCTTGTGTTTCATTTGTGAATTCTGAATCTCCGCTTTAATGAATCTCAATACATTGTTTCAATGCTTTTGTTTCATTGCATCTCACAATTTCCGTCAACTTTTGATGCCAGGGGTACACAAGGTAATAAATAAAGAACAGTAGAGAAATATAGAAGACAAGAAATCCAACAGCGAACTATAGAGAAAAGTTATTAAAGAAACATAACAAATTGAAAAATGTGTAAAGACATTGAAGAGAAAAGGAGGACAAGTGAATACAAATTGAATAAAGAAAGAACGGGTTAATAAAATGGTCATCTAAGAGGAAGGGAGTTAAATAAATACAAAGGGAAAAAGAAAGCAGAACTACAAGAAATAATACTAATACTAATAAAGG